TTGGGCCCATTATCAATTTGAGACTATCTAACTAGAACCTTATTTCTGTTTGTCATCTTTTAAACATCTATCAGTTGTTCATTTCCTCTTTTCCTACAGTGATTTTTTCAGATCTTCTCACTATTAAAATACACAATTTAACTCATTTCCATCCTCCCTCATCAGAGAGCTACTTTCCTGCCATTTTAGAAGGACTGCCTTTTTGTTAGGAGTTGGTCCTCAGATTAAAGTTTACTTCTTGACTTACTAAATGTAAGACACCTGTGAGATTTCTAAGTGAAGAAAGTTATGAAGCTGTTGCAGGAAGTCAGGGACCCCAAACGGAGGGACTCACACCATGGCAGAAGAACAAAAATTGTGAAGATTTCATGAACATTTATCACTTCCCCAATTGATACTCCCGTGATTTCCTATGCCTGTCTGTACTTTAATCTCTGAATCCTGTCATCTTCGTGAGGAGGATATATGTCGCCTCAGGACCCTGTGATGATTGTGTTAACTGCACAAATTGTTTGTAGAGCATGTGTGCTTGAACAATATGAAATCTGGGCACCTTGGAAAAAGAACAGGATAACAGCAATGTTCGGGGAACAAGGGAGGTTACCTTAAACTCTGACTGCCGGTGAGACGGGCGGAACAGAGCCATATTTCTCTTCTTTCAAAAGCAAATAGGAGAAATATCGCTGAATTCTTTTTCTCAGCAAGGAACATCCGTGAGAAACAGAATGCGCCCCTGAGGGTAGGCTTCTGAAGTGGCCACTTTGGGGGCAGCTATCTTTTATGGTTGAAGACGAAGAGAAAGGGATTAAATAAGTCCCGGTCTCCTATAGCACTCCCAGGCTTATTAGGACGGGGAAATACCCGCCTAAGAAATTTTGGTCAGACCAGTTGTCTGCTTTCAAACCCTGTCTCCTGATAAGATGTTATTAATGACAATGCGTGCCTGAAACTTCATTAGCAATTTTAATTTCACCCCATCCTGTGGTTCTGTGATCTTGCTCTGCCTCCATTTGCTTTGTGATATTTTATTACCTTGTGAAGCATGTGATCTCTGTGACCCACACCCTATTCGTGCACTCCCTCCCCTTTGAAAATTGCTAATAAAAACTTGCTGGTTTTACGGCTCAGAGAGCACCATGGAACCTGCCAACATGTGATGTCTCCTCCGGACACCCAGCTTTAAAATTTCTCTCTCTTGTACTCTTTCCCTTTATTTCTCAGACCAGCCAACACTTAGGGAAATAGAAAAGAACCCATGTTGAATATCAGGGTTGGGGTTCCCCCGATATGAAGCCATTAGATATTTGAAAGTCTGGAGATGAGGAGTTAGTATGGCTTCTGAATGTAGGACTCACTAATACTTACTAATATCTGTCTACCTAAATGCTCATCTACCAAGGATATTGTGTAGGTGAGATGATTCATAATATTGGAACTTTATAGAGTTATTTAGATTTAAGAGGCTAAATGGTAGAAGAGACTCAGGAAAGGAGATTATGAAAGAAAAAGAGGAAGATAGAGAGCTAGTGAAAAGTGGTATTGTGAAAGTTAAGGAAGCAGAGAGTTAGAATGAGCAAGGGGTTATTAACAGTGTCACATGCTACAAGGAAACTAAGTGAAGGAAATTTTTGTTTGTTTTGTTTTGTTTTGACTGAATCTTGCTCTGTGGCCTTGGCTGGAGTGCAGTGGCGGAAGCTCAACTCACTGCAAACTCCACCTCCTGGGTTCAAGCTGTTCTTGTGCCTCAGCCTCCTGAGTAGCTGGGATTACAGGTATGTACCACCACACCCAGCTAATTTTTGTGTTTTTAGTAGGAGACAGGGATTTTGCTATGTTGTCCAGGCTGGTCTTGAACTCCTAGGCTCAAGTGATCCACCCACCTTGGCCTCCCAAAGTAAGGTTTTGAAAGAGTTTTCGTATTTGGCTGTAGGTGATCTTGGGGGATCTTGATGAGAGCTATTTTCATAGTATGATGGAAACCAGACGTAGTGAACCAAGTGAACTGAAATATGGTTGTGGGAGCATCAAGTATGAACTACTCTTTCCAGGAGCTTGGCTTAAGAGGTAGGTGAGTACATGGTACTGGGTAGAAGATAATGTAGGATTGAGAAAAGTGCTTTTGTTGCTGGTGTTTTTCTTTTTTTTTATTTTTAAAAATCTTTACTGTTAGTTTTTGAGATGAGAGAAGTAAAGTGGAATAGTCAAGTAGGAAAATCACAGAGATAGGCTATTTGTCTAAGGAAGAATCCCCTTTCCTTGGAGGCTGGAAAAGAGAAGAAATTGACCATTGGTAAATTTTAAAATACAAGTAGGATATATTTGGGGTATCCTGCATTAACTGCCTGCCTCAATTTTACTTTTGAAGGAGGAACTATAGTACATACCAAAACCAAGGGTAAAAATGGGAGGGTCAGAGATGAGACTTTTTGTAATAATGGCCCTTGTGTGAGCTGGATTGAGGCATGTGGAAGACTTTCTGGGTGCCAGTGAGTTGACTCTCAGTGTGTGGTCACATCAACTGATAGTCCTGTGTGATGTTTCTTACAGGACTTAACCCAACGTAGGAATTAGGAATTTTTTAAGTTCATCTAGAGTTGGTGGTTTTGTTGGTAATGTTCAGTGAATGAACAGTTTAAAGAGGGAGGCTAGGTGTAAGCAAGAGATTGGCTAAAGTGAAAAAATAATAGTGTTTGGGTTAGAAAGCCAGGATTTAAAACTAGCAAAAGAAATCTCAAGGGAGTGGTCATCTCCTTGACAATGAAGCACAGATAACACAGAAGGAAGAGGGTGTAATAGCTGATTAGATTGGTAATTAAATCCAAGAGTTATGGGAAGAGGGTGGAGTGAGGAACCTCTTGCTTTAAAGGTGGCAGTTCTGATAAAAACACCAAGATAAAACCATGGCAGCGGGTGACTGAAGAGGCATGGAGTTGGGGTCATCTGAGAATCTGGAAGTTTAGTAATAGGTTGATAACGGGCTCTAGAAGCAGACTATCCAGGTCCAAATCCCTATGCCCTCACTTATTAGGTATGTGATCTTGAACAAATTATTAACTGCAGCAAATATTGGTTACTTTTCACTGAAATGGGGATAATGGTGTCTCATTTTAGATTTGTGTTGGGATTGAATGAGGTAATTCATATAAAGCATTAAATCTTTGGTATAACGTGAGTACTCAATGCATTTCAGTCACAGTCATAGTTATTTGATTATTATTGCTCCTTTTCTTTTAAATCTCAGCTTATACATCACCTCCTATGGGAGACTGTCTGCAGCCACACTGTAGACTATAGACACCTTTAGGTAACTCTCCATCATGTTTTAGCACCTAGGACTATCTACTATAATTTAGTGGTTGATGAAAATACCTCCCTAATTAGAGTTAGCTTCTCTGTTATTAAGACTGTGTCCTATTAATTTTCTATAAACCATATGCCCGATGAACAGGAAGTGTAACCACTTTCTTTCCAAGGATTTGTTGAAAAGAAAAATAAGTTCCATTTCTCTTTTGATGAGGAATCACTTGATTGCTGCTTGTTAATCAAGTTGATTTCTAGCATATTGGTAACACTTTTAGAATAAGAGCAAAAGGTAAACCACAATTACAGGGGTTTTTCTGATCTTATTGTAGAATTTTCTACACACTCAAGTACACAGTTCTCAATTTCCCATTTGGGTGGATGCAGTGTCTTCCAGGCTGCCTTGAATTTAGCAAACTGGACAAATGCAAACCTGTTGCCTAGAAAATGAAGTTTGTTTTTGAGGCATTTAAAAAAATGTTTGCCGTAATGTCAAACTATGATTTTCATCATGAGGGAGATTATATTTAACCTTATTTGAGCCATAGATCATGGAATCTGGACCTGGAAACTCTGCTGTTGGGGCCAAAGGAGCTTGGTAAATGTTTCTAGTTTCATTTGTCTGGGCCTTAGTTCGGTGGAGATGTTATTTATTGTTTATCCAACTCACAGCCTCATTCTAGCCCCTTGAACCCATTCTTATTTGGACACATGACATTTTTATGTTACCATTGTTGCCACTAAGTATTTGGAAAGTAAGGCTCAGGAGGGGCAGCTTATGTGACCCATTGTAAGCGCTTTATTTCTGAATTTATCACTTTCTTACAAAGCTTTACAAAAGTGGCTTAATGTTAATGATTCTTTAACGGCTTAATGTTAATGATTATTTTATTTGTATAAACTTACTTAAAACAATATCTTCTCATTTTTAAACTTAAAATAGATATTTACTTATTCTTAAAATATGTATTAATCATGATGATTTAGTGTAATTTCCAAATATATAATCACCATCCTGGCTTTAGGGAAGCTAGACTTAAGGTTTTTTTTCTTGATTAGAGAAATATTCAAAATAAAGTTAAATTAAATGTATTTATAAATGTGTACTGTAGTGATTCATATCAGCTTGGGATAAGTGCTTCAACATATTATGTTGGAAATATTATCTGGAAATAATCGATGTATAAGCACTTTATTGGGAACCTAATATAGTGTTATCTATGCTGTTTCTGTCACTTTATTGGTACTTATTTTTGTTTTTTTATTATAATTTTGTTTTGCTGCCAGAAAGCAAAATGTTATATATGATTGCTACTAATAGTTCTCTGATAACCTGACAAATTTTAAAACATTACTATTTCTTCAGTTGGACAGAACACTAGGTTGTTACTAAAATAATGCACATTGTTTTCTTCAAAAGTGCCTTCTATTTTAGTGACAGTCAATTGGAAAGCCGTATTTTCCTTTTTGGACAATAAAATAGTCCAAAAAAGAGGGAATATTTATATAAAAAATTGTTCCCAACTAATGTGGTTATAAAATACAAAGAAAATGACTCATATTTTCTAAATTGATTGCTAATGAATTTTAATACAGATGATTTCCATTTCAGTGACATTAGAGATTCTTGTTTGATGATATGCTACACGTCTAATTTTGACAAGCATTTGTTCCTAATGTTTCACATGCTTTATTCCTAGAATTTAACACGTGAACTGGAGAATGGGGAAAAACAACAACTCCAGATGTTGGATCGACTTAAGGAGATCCAGACTCACTTTGACACATGTGAGGCCGAGCGTAAGCATGCTGACCTTCAGATCTCAGAACTGACTCGCCATGCGGAGGATGCAACCAAGCAGGCTGAGCAGTACCTCAGTGAGCTCCAACAGTCAGAGGCCCTGAAAGAGGAGGCGGAGAAGAGGAGGGAAGACCTGAAACTGAAAGCTCAAGAATCTATTAGGCAGTGGAAGCTTAAACATAAGAAGTTAGAGCGAGCGTTGGAGAAACAATCTGAAACAGTTGATGAACTGACAGGCAAGAATAATCAGGTATAAAAGCCACATTCCTAAGGAATGGTTTTCAATTTGACCCATCCATTCTTTCATCTCTCCTTTGAAAAAACACTTGAGTGCCATACTGTGCATATGATCAATATGCTCTTGATAGAAAAATCCTTATGGTTGGCTGTTTCAAAGTATAAAAGTTAATTTTTAAATATTTTTTACTTAAGCCTTTTCATAGTTTAATATTATGTGGCTTTTCAGAGTTGGCCTATCAATAGATGTACCCCTTGCCCCAGTTTAGGTGTAAGTTTCCTAAATTGAATTATTCTTTAATCTCCTAATATGCCAATGGAAGAAAATTACTAAATCTTCCTTATTTTCACACAACTTTCCTCCCAATGCATGTATTTTAAAATCTCATTTATTTATATATTTCAACTAGGTATTGGTTAGAAAGAAGCATTTAAAAAATGCAGTAGTTACTAGGGCCATTTACTGGCAGTAACTGTAATGGGCTTACTTGAATGCGTACGCTGAGGATCTCACTAACTGAGCAGTGTTATGGGATCACAACCCTCTTCAAGACTTTGCTTTTATGCCCCTTTGATAGCAACAAAACGCGTTTCACTCATCTATGTATGCATTTCACATTAACTTTTCTCTTGTATTATCAGTTACTTTAAATGGATTTTATGCTCCTATGTTGATTCTCATCTGATATATCTTTGGGTTGAATTAAACCCAGATGTTTATAAGATAATAAGCAGGAAAGTCGTGATTGATTTTTATCCATGTTTATTCTTGGTTTATCATTTGTGCTTTGTCATTTGTCACTTGTCAAGAACTCTGTACATTCCAAAAGAATAATCGTTTGGATAAGTTGACTTTCTTTGAAAAGAAAACAAAATGTAGGGCATTATATTTATAAAATCAATTTTCAGCTTTTAAGAGTGACAGATGCTTATTTCAGATGAGCTGTCATGGAAAAGATACTTTATCTTTTACATATGAATTTCTCGGACATATAGAAGATGAAAAAAAATGATCATTTTGCACTCACTGCAGATTGCTTTTCATTTTAACCCATCTGACACATACTGGGTGGCTGGTTGCCCTGAAGTAAAGCAGTTCTAAAGCTTTCAGACTTGTGCCTGAACTGATCTGATCCCAGGAAATTGCTCTATCTTGATTATTCTGTTGTCAGCCTGATCTGGCAACTGGCTCAGTGAGCCTGACTGTAAGGTAGGTAGGTAGCTAGCAAGAGGAGTGGTTGAGGGAATTGACTGATTGAAAATCTCATCTGGAGATTTTACTTAATTAGAAGAGATTTAGAAGAGTCCATGTCATCATACAGTATTCCAGTCCATGGTGCTGAGACTTTTCTACGTTGAGTTTTCAGAATATTAAAAATTGTTTAACAATCATTTCCCAGAATACTTCCAATTATTTTTATCACTTAGCATTACTAATGATAAGCAAAGAAGCAGTTTTAAAGTGATTGCCACAGTTAAGGTCGTAACACAATTATCACAGCAGGCATTGTAATTTCTCCTTTAAAAGCCTTAAAAATTAATGCAGCATGTTGCAGTTAGAGCAATGGTTTTTCAAGGAAAAAGAGTAAGAAATGTGCTCAGTAAATCTGTGATGTGGAAATACATGGTAAATAATTTTGGAAAAATTTTTTAAAAATATATACTGAATATTATTTCAAAGGGATATTTAATTCTTAATAAAATCACAAAGCCACCTTAACACATTTGTAATACAGCTACTTTCTTTTTGATTTTTAGGGCTAATTATTTTCAAAAACTGACTCCAAGGTATTTTGGAAGGGTGTATTAAAATAAAAATTATACTGATTTACAAATATAACATATGATGGCTTAAAGAATAAATTACTTAATAAGTACCCTTACTGAGTCATTTTATATGCTCATATGATGCTCTCCTCATATTTGCAGTATGGTTCTGTGTCTACCGCCAGTTCTCTTTTTCTAGCATAATTTATTTTCTGCTTTAAGATTTGTTACTTAAAAAATATACTAAATGACAAAAGGCTTTTTTTCTCTGAAAAACTTCTCTGATTTATTTCTTTTTTCCTGCTTTTTACATTTCTGGAATCTTAGTAAGATTATAAGATATCATATTACAAAACTACTTCATGACTGAATGATGTGTAATATCAAATCGCATATCACTGCAGAAAAAAAAAAACAAACCCAGACAGATCAAATTGTATACTTTCCTCAAAGACAATGAAATGGATATTTACATCAGGGAATTGTGGTGTGCTTCAGGGATATGTAGGTAACACATATTAGGAGACCGAAAACTTAATAGATACAAATAATCTAGCTGTAAGTTGTGGTATTTTTGCTTCTCTTTTTCTTTTAAGGTACTGTTTGAAATCATTGGTTTGTATGGGTGCTTTGAAAACGATAAAGGAAAAGATTGGACTCTGATCATAGTATATGCTTTTCTGAATGTTTCCAATTTTTTTCATATTCTTTTTTAATATGGATAATGGGAATACTTTCCAGGGTTTTTTTTTTCCCCCTGCTGAATTGGCAGAATAATTGGCTTGCTTATGTATTGAGCTTTTTGCTTGATAGTATTTGACTTCAAGAAGCTTAAATTACCATATATTCCTTCTGCATATTTCCCTCCTGCTGCCAAAAAAAAAAAGAGTTATATGTAATATATGCTATCTTGTAAAATCTGAATTTTTGAATGGTTGAAAGTAAGAAGGATCAGTGCCAAAGTGTACGATTTTTTGAATGCATATACAGTCCTATCACATACAGTTCAAGAAATGCTAGAGTATGTATTAGTATAATCCAGCCATCTGCCTGCATTTTCTCTTACATGCAGGTAAACAAAACAAAACAAAAACATTGAGTAATCCCCTCATCTACCTTTTAGTTAATTAAAAAAAAAACAAAAAACAAAACAAAACTGTATATATAATACTTTGTGTTCAGGTCTTTGAGGACTTGGCTTCTGTTTCTATAATCGCCATGATTTCAGATAGTATTATTCTTTTGGCTTCACACAACTATTTTAAGGCCTTTTTTCAATAATCTTTTCTTTTGCCCCTTCTTTGGAAGCTTGGACTGCCTGGTTAGAACATTCTTTTCCCGTTTTTGCTCTTGACTGCTGGCTATTTTTCATTTATGCTCCTACATTTCTCAAGGATTTTAGCTTGGCTTTGCATCAGCCTGTTTTATGTCATGTAATTCTTGCCATCATCCTTAGTAACTTCAGAGTTCAAGTCCTCAACCTACTGAAGTCTGTATCCTTCTAATTCACGAATGTCTTATTTTATAGTGACCTTCACTGAAATAATTCTACTTCAGTGTCGAATTTCTGTGTTTAAATTTTATCTTCATCTGTAATTGTTCCATGTTCAAGCCTTCCGTTCCACAGCTCAGTGTCTGATCTTTCAGAATTCTTCTCTTCCCTACCACCTAGCTTTTTAAACTATTAATACCCAATTTTGATCTTTCTGTATTCCTCTGGTTTACTAGCCAGTTTCTGGATTCAGTTTTCTTCCTGTCACATTGGACTTCGTCGAAAGCTACTTTGATGTCGTCCTCATCACATCTTCAATTTCTTTCTTCTCCCTCATACATTTTACGGATTTCTAATCTGGAGTCAACCCGACTTTCCACTTTTTCCATTCCTTCTCCTAAACAATAACAACAAAACTTCCATAGAAATAGCAGTTGACTTCTATAGTATTCATGGTTACCTCCTCCCTCCCCCTATCCATTCCATTCATTAATTAATGCAAGACCATCACTAGGTACAGAATTGCAGAGAGGTGGAGCCAGAGCTTTGACATACTGTCTCTGGAGCAGTTTTGCCTGGAATGATTTTCTTGTGGTTTAAACCAGTTCGGATTGGGATTTTCTCTTACCCTCAGCAGGAGAAATTCACGTTTATGTAAACTTTGAGTTCTAGCAATAAGGAGCTATAAGCAAAATAACCTAAATTGTAGGATTGGCTGAGAGGAGAAGTAGGGTAAGGGGCAGGAGAGGATCATATTGTTCTAAAGGGAAAGTTGGTAAACTTTGCTATGTGGTTGGAAGCAACTGGTTTAAAGAGAAATCATATTTAGGGGCATTGATGCTGTGAATAAGAGGATAGTATTAAGTGACTGGTAGGAAAACTTTAGGATGTTGGAGTATGTTGTGTGCATATTTCAGCCTTCAGTAAGGTATTACAAGAGAAAGACAAGTTTAGGTTGAAACTTGTCTAAAAGCAGAGTTTTGTTCGTTTGTTTGTTTGTTTGTTTCCTTTTTTAAGATGAGGAGCCTGAAGTCTGCAATCTATAATCCATATTGACTATGAGTCTGGTAATTTGGAATCCTTTAGGCTTGGAAAAGCCAAATTATTTATCCAAACTGAAATTGGTGCAAGCATAAGAGGGAAGCAGGAAACAGCAAGAAAAAAAAAGAGTTAAAAATCAAGCCTTTTTCTCAGGATCCTTTCAAGTACTTAGGCATTCCTGGCCAGACAAAGGGGACCCAGTTCCACTGTTCTGATCTTCCTCAAGATAAAGGCTACTCAATTGAGGGCCCTGGGTATGTCCAGGGTATTGAGATGGTAGTAAAGACATAAGACATTTTCAGACTCAAAGAAACATCTAGACAAAATCTTAAGCTGTGGCTACTAGGCAAGCAATTAACCAGAAGCAAATCGACAGAGCTTAGTTTTTAGTATCTGTATTGCCAAAGATATTCTAAACTTGATCCACAAGGTCAGTGACGGTCTGCCCTGTGGCTGTCCCCTTTGTCAGGAATTGATGTGATGCTTGGAACACTGCAAAGACAACAAAAGATGGAGAGTTATAGAGTAGCAGATCCTGAGCTTTGAGGGATTCTTCTTGAATGACCCTATCTCTGGACTTCCTGTTATGTGAGAAAAAGAAATATCTTTGCTTTTTAATCCAATTTCAGGAAGATATAATATTTCATAATTAAAGACACTTTACATGGTATGACTTCATTATGAAAATATGATTTGAATCCTCAGCACTGCCTATAAGTCTCTCAACTCATGCCAAGGGGGCTAAGTTATCTGCTTCAAACGGATATCGCTATACTGAAGGCCCCTACCCTTGCTCAGTCCCTCCCACGCCATCTTTACAGCCCAAACTTGATTCTATCAGTTTTTGTGCTCTCTAGTTTGGTAAGTAGAATGACCCTCCCCAAAGAAGTCACCCTAATTTCTGGAATCCATAAATATGATAAGACATTACTCCTGTGATCACATTATCTGGATGGGCCTAATCTAATCACATGAGCCCTCAATAGAAGTTTTCTTTCTGGCTATTGGGAGAAGGGGACGTCGGAGAGAATTGAAGCTTGGGAAGGATTCATCAAGCTGTTCAAGCTTTGAAGATGGCAGAGTCCATAAGCCAAGGAACAAAGTTGGCTTCTAGAAGTTCAGAATAATCGCTGGCCAAAAGCTAGCAAGGAAATGGGTACCCAAAGTCCTACAACTGTATGGAAACTAGTTGTATCAGAAACCTGAATAAACTTGGACATGGATTCTCCTCAGAGTCTCCAGACAAGAGCCCTGGCCAGCTGATACCTTGATTTTAGTCTTAGGAGGCCTTAAACTGAATACCTTGCTTGGCTGTTTGACCTATTGGAAGCAGTGAGATAAAAAATGTGCATTGTTTTAAGCTACTAAGTCCGTTCAAAATTGTTATGAAACAGTAGAAAAACAATACATCTACCCTTAGGCTCATCTATATTTCTCCTACCTTACATTCTTTTGAAATTGAACTCCTTCATCTGTGTTCCAGAGTTCCTCCTCTTCAGTTATCCCGTCTTTTCACAGTAGAGACGGGGTCTTGCTATGTTGCCCAGGCTGGTTTTGAACTCCTGAGCCGTAGCTGTCTTCCCACCTCAGCCTTCCAAGTAGCTGGGATTATAGGTGTATGCCACTGGGCCTGGCTCTTTTTACAGTTTTGATCACTACCTTGCATAAACACCTCCCCGAGACCCTAGTACCTCCTTGAACTTAAATTCTACTCCAACTTTTTGTTTCCCCTTTCTCACTAATCTTCATCACAGTCTTATGAAATAGCTATTATTCTTTTCTCTAGTAAGAGAAATGATTTCTCTGAGGCCATAGAATTGCCCATGATTGAACTGAGAATCAAATTCGCTTCTTTCTGGTCAGAGCTCAACTGCTTATTCACCTCCTTTTATTAGTTCTCATGTTATCTTTGTGCTCTTTCTTTCTTTCAGTTAAAACTGAGAGGGATTGGGGAAACTTTTTTTTGGAGTGATTGACTCATTAAATTTTTATCATAAATTGTTTTACACTGAAGTATAGAATGTGAAGTGTAGAAATGTCTTGCAAATATTTGCATTTTAACTCGTTATTTGTAATTCTGAAATGAGTCTTAATTGGTTCCTTTTTTTCCCCACCTGTTTCAAGACATGGTGTGGGCATTAGTAAGTAGACACGGAGATTATCTTTGGTGCCAGTGTGGCATAGAAAACAATCTTGGCTCCCTTGGCTGCCCACTATTTTATTTGCAATGATTAGGTGGTGATAATTAGAGGCCAGAAGAGTTAACCCTTGGCCTCTGTCCCTCAATGTAAATCGTAGAGAGGCTGGGATAGAATGATGGACTTCTAGGCCCTTGACTTTTCCCTTGAGCCCTTTCTCCACCTTCCCTGACTTAATCGCATTTCTATCTTTGTGGGCTTCAAGGCTCCCAGTTGCATATTGGTGACTTTTTGTCACCATTGATATTTTGAAGATAATGGCTGAATGTACCGTAAACTTTCTTATATTGTATCTGCATGCTTCCCTATATTATTTTCCATCTCTGTTTTGGGATTTCTCCTTTTTAAAAGTGTATCATTGGAATGGACATGATTATTATTTTAGGTAATACTGTATTATTTCAACCTCTAGTAAGTTTTCTTTTTAATAGGAGTCTTTGCTTTCCCCATTTGCTTGCTCAATTCTATCTAACATTTAAATAAATATTTGTAACCATGGATTGAAAAAAGTTTTGGTGATGAAAATTTGAAATACATATTTCAGTGTGTTGCTATTTCAGGACAATTATATATTGCCCCCTGTGCCTCCGCTTTCTAGCCTAAAAGTATTTTTATTACAAAATGGAAAAAATACAAAAATTATTTGATGAATTTTGTTTCTCCTTGTGGGTTAAACTTTATTTTGCTGACTGGCACAGTCTGTGGTGAATTTTATAGTAACTTTTATTTTTTCTTTTGCTTCATGTTCTTAACCTGATAGATTTTAAAAGAAAAGGATGAATTGAAAACCCAGATGTATGCAGCATTACAACAAATAGAGAATCTTCGAAAGGAATTGAATGATGTCCTAACAAAGCGTGCCCTTCAGGAGGAGGAGCTTCACTCCAAGGAGGAGAAACTACGTGATATTAAGTCTCATCAAGCTGACCTTGAATTGGAAGTCAAGAATTCCCTGGATACCATCCATAGACTGGAAAGCGAATTGAAAAAGCAGAGTAAGATCCAAAGCCAAATGAAAGTTGAGAAAGCTCACTTGGAGGAAGAAATTGCAGAGCTCAAGAAGAGCCAGGCCCAGGACAAAGCTAAACTTCTTGAGATGCAAGAGTCCATCAAGGACCTGAGTGCCATCCGAGCAGATCTTGCTAATAAATTGGCCGAGGAAGAGAGAGCCAAGAAAGCAGTGCTTAAGGACCTTTCTGACCTCACCGCACAGGCAAAATCCAGGGATGAAGAAACAGCTACCATCATCACACAGTTAAAGCTGGAACGAGATGTGCACCAGAGGGAGCTGAAAGATCTCACATCATCATTGCAGAGTGTGAAAACAAAACATGAACAGAATATCCAGGAGCTTATGAAGCACTTTAAGAAAGAAAAGAGTGAGGCTGAGAATCATATCAGGACACTGAAGGTACCTCTGCTGAATTATCCTGATGATACTGAAGGAATTTTTCTGGTGGCTCATGAAGTTAATAAAGCGTAAACTTTTAGAGATCATTCTGTATTCCCAAGCACTGAAGGGAAGATAAAAACAACAATAAAGAGGCTTATTCATGCCTGTTCGGCCAGGTTGAAATGAGTTATAACAGCCACCTGGGAGCACCTATTTCAGAGCATTGAAGCCCTTTATAAAGAACGTTTAGCTGTTTGGGGAGTTCAGGAAAGGCAGAGGTGGTAGTAAGTCGTGGACCTGAAACGTGCCCTCATTCAACATTTATGACCTCCTAAAATATAAAAGGCAAAGACTCGTCAAGGCCAGAGGAGCTATAACCACAGTCCTTATTAGTATGGTAACTAAAGTGGATCAGCTTATGGGCTGTGTAAACCCAGGGCTTTTGAGATTTACTCCTTCTTTTCCAAATCAAAGTTGCCTGGGTAAATGCCTAATTGGGATCTTGGATTTGAAGAAATGTTTCTAAGGTCTAATGTTATTAGCATTATCACCATGCAGGGCAATCGTTTTATAACGTGATTGTCAGGAGTGTGATAAATCTGTTCCTCTTCCCATCTTTTTATTTTTTTCCCATAACACTTATCATATGATATAGATTCCATATTATTTATTTTTTAATCTCCCTTTATTGAAATGAAGACTCTCTGAGGATAGGGATTTTAGTCTGTTTTGCTTCTAGCTATATTCCCAGTGGCTACAACAGTTTTTTGGAACATTGTAAATATCTATTGAATAGGTGAATGAATGAATGGATAAATCTTCAAAGGTTAATTATTATAATGTTTTTCAAAAGTCTTTGAAATGCAACTACTATTTTGAAAATGCTTATGATGCAAGATGAAATGATATTGAAACAACTGACATCTGTAAAATGATGTAGCTAGTCTATGAGTTCTTCCCCAGTCCTAGATAGCCTTCTGGCATGAAGATTTGGGGTCTTCAATTGGGGTTGGTGGGTCAGAACGGAGGCTAAAATAGGTAAGAGGCCCTTACTGTATTTCATTAAACCTAAGACACCTTGTCAGGTGCATCATTGCTGTTATTACTAGATGCATGTCATCCTAAGAAATAAAAATGCTGCCTCCTGCCTATGAAACCATGATATGTCATCAAGTGTAAGAACTCCCAGGTCAGAGATGGTAAAATGTGGAAGATGCACATTTTAATTTTGATGAACTATGGAATAATAATCTTTCAGAGTTGATGAATATATAAACAAAAGTAGAATTAGGGATATGGAGAAGAAGAGCTGATCTTATAGAAAATAAAATATATATTACATGGTGATTGATTGGCTATGACAATAACAATACTACCAGCAAACAGTTTTTCAACACTTTATGCCAGTCACTGCTCTAAGAACTTTACAAGTGTTAATCATTTAATACCCACCTCCCCCTGCAGATTGTGTGGTATTATTTTCTCCCCAATGAGGAAATTGGGATACAGAAGGTTAAGTAATTTGCCCACGGCCTTAGAGCAGGAGAGTGGTAGGGAAAGGATTTGAACTCAGGTAATTAACTGACTGTGTTCTTAACTGCTTTGCTAGGCTGGAAAAAAGTTTAGACTCAAGGATGGGTAGGTAATGACTTTGGGTGATTAGGTGGATAATGATGCTATTGCCAATATAGAGAATACAGACAGAATAGAAGATTTGGAGAGAACAGTGGCAAATCTAGTTTGTTTTTGTTGTTGTTGTTTTTTAGCATATTGTCTTAGGGGGAGGAATTTTAAGCTTAACCAAGAAAGTCTAGGTGGAACAGATTAGCACATAATTAGTACATAATAATTAGTAGGGTCAAGAGTTGAGGGAGAAATTGAGATTGGAGTGAAATATTTGGGAGCCAGTTAACTCTTGGGTGGTAGTCGATGTCATGGGATTTGGATGAGATTGTGCAGATAATAAAAAGAGGATGAGACTCTCAAACACTAATGTTTGAAGGAAAGAATTTACTAAAAGGGCCTAGCAAATGAAAATAAAAGACCATATGACAGACAGATAGGAGGAGAACCAAAAGAGAATGATATCTTAGAAATCCAGCTAAGACATTTTAAGAAAGTTATAATCAAGAATGATAAATGTGACAGGCAAGCTGAAAGAAGAAGTATAAAAAGCCTTCATTCCATTCAACAGAGGTTGATGGAGAAAGTACATTGGGAGATGTGAGGGGATTTGATAAAAAAATAAGAGTATACAGCATTCGACAGGAGACAAGGCCTCCTTCCTCTGAAGGATTCAGAGAAAACTAGTAAGGCTGGGTAAGTTGGTAGGGATGATCTGGGGAAATTGATGTCAATCTCGACTGATAGCCTTTCTTCTCTCTGAAGTAGAATAGGATAGCAGTGCAGCAAGAAATTAGGAGCAGTGAAGATGAAAACTGGTATGAAGACTGGTACACACTGAACGAGACTAGTCTAGGAGCATGTAAAGTACTTCCATGTGGCTAACATTGAAGAACAAAGATTGTGGGCAAAGGAATGAGAAAGCTGAAGGATAAAAATCTGCAGTCAGAGGTTGTTGATTTGGTCAGGAATTCTTATATTGCAGTGCAATCTAAAAGTTTCCAGAGTTAAGGTCTAAGGTGTGGTCATGCAGTGGTTGCTATTGTGCAATGTTGGTGTAGGTAGTTGGGAAAGAACAGGTCAAATAACTTTGAAGCTATCTTATGGGATGGACACTTGGATATTTAAGATATTATGAAGGCATTAATTGGTCACGTGCCAAAAACCACTGGTCAGTCAGCTGTTGACAGCAAGGTAGAGAGGGTTGTTGATGAGAAATAGTGTGATGTGAAAGGAAGGCAGGGTTTTTGCATGAGGACAAGCATGTAATGATTTGTTGGGAGAAACTGGCATGGCATAGAGCAATGGTTTGTTTTAAGAAGCTTGCAGTTTTCTTGAGACTGCTGTTGAAACTAGAACCTTCCTTCTCACTAGTACTTATGTCTTATCACCATTATTTAGGTTGTATAATAACACAATGGTCAGGAGTTAGTAATAATTTTTTCAGTTAGAGCATGTTCAAGGTCATCTCTATAAGGCCATAATTCTCACATTCAGATATGCATTCTTCAATGAGAAATAGTAATTGCTTTTGCTCATGGATACATTGGCATATGGACAATATATCATGTTGTACTAGAAAACAGAATGCAGACTGCTAACTTGCAACCTAGCCATACTTCTAAGTAATTTCCCTATTTCCCTCTAGTTCCTTTCTCTACCCACAACCCCTCCCTTTATTCCCCCAGATACTCTCTAATTTCCTTTCCCAAAATATATATCTGAGTGTGTCACTTTCTACTGAAAAACCTTTGTTAGTTATTTACTGTCTCTGTAATAAAGTCTCCACTCCAGCCCAGCCCAGCACCCCCCTTAAAATGATTCTACCTTACTCATGTACATTCATTCCTTTTTTTTTTTTTTTTTTTGAGATGGAGTCTTACTCTGTCACCAGCCGGGAGTGCAGTGGTGTGATCTCAGCTCACTGCAGCCTCTGCCTCACAAGTTCAAGCGATTCTCCTGCCTCAACCTTCCAAGTAGCTGGGACTACAGGTGTGCACCACCATGCCCAGCTACTTTTTGTATTTTTAGTAGAGATGGGGTTTCACAGTGTTGGCCAGGATGGTTTCCATCTCTTGACCTCATAATCCACCCGCCTCGGCCTCCCAAAGTGCTGGGATTGCAGGCATGAGCCACTGTGTCCGGCCCATTCATTACCTTTTATGCTCTCCAACATTCCTCGTACAAATATAGATCACTGTGCATACTTCTGACTGCTCATTCTCTATCTGAATTGGCCTCTTAGTCTGCAGGGAAGAATTCTGCCAAATCCTCTAAGGCCCAAGTTTTTACTTCTTTTATGGATCCGCTGAAGTTGGAATAAATCTCAACTGAGGTGGGGCTAATCTCTTGATCTGCTGTGTGTCCATAGGTCTTTATTGGTGCCTCAGGTACAGCACATTTAGGCTGCCTTGTATTTTGGTTTGTTGAGTGTGCATGAGTCTCTAGAGGGACAGGCATTAGATCTAAGCCATTTTGTATCCTCTTATGGTGTCTAGCATAATGTTCCAGACATACAGAAGATACTCGGTGGATATAAGTTGAAATGTTGAAAAAGGTAGAAATCAGAGCATTTGCTCCTGACTTGCTCTATGATCTGTTTCATTTGGATTTCTCCATGTAATGTGGGAAAATTGATTTCCTCATTTTTTTTGAGGAAGTGCTTTGAGTTCATTTGTTGTGAGATGATAACAAAGCTTTACTAAATTCCCTGTATGTAAAGAATTTAGAATTTATAAGCATTCTGTGGATCTTCTGAGTCCTTTGGGCTTGTTGTTTGTTTTAAATTTGTAAGATTGAGATCTGGGAGGGGTGTCAAAGCTATTCCCTAATGTGTGGTATTGAAGTTGCTCTAGAATTGGAAGAATGGCCAGAGATTGTGTGAGCCTAGCAGCTTCCTTAGAAACCAAACAATTTACCCTTAAGGAACAATCACCACCTCATGCTATTTTATTAATATATCCATACTTTTTACTTATTTATGTTAATTAAAATGAGTTGATAGCAAAGGCCATCACAGGAGATGTAATATACTGAATTATGCACACAGTGGAGTTTTAGACAAGTAGCTCTACAAATGTTATATTTCTGTGTTTTTCAGCTTCATTTTAACTTACTACATTTTTGAGTCTAATAAGCTCTGATAAGTCATCCATATTTTTTTCTCTGTACACTTTAGTTCTATTTTTTCCTCCATCTAGAATCACCCCTCTCATACCTATTTTTAAATTTAAATTTAAAATGTTTTAATGACATGCTGTGCTATTAATATTTTCAGGATATTGGTCTGTTACCTCATTGCAATTTCAACAAAATCATTTTGTAGAGCCTTTTTTTGGAATCAAAAGATGCAGGATTGGAGTTCTGTGTTTTTGCCATTTGCTGACCATTTGATC